GCGGCGTAACTTTTTTCTTATCAGTTACTGTTTTTTTTGAACAAAAAATTCATCTGTCTATACTTTGGTGGAACCAGCTGAAAAACTTGTAGCAGGTTTTACAAATGAGAATAATACGGACCACGCGGTGCCTTGATGTGGTCATGCGAAAGCGTGTGATACGAACGGCGGTGTTATTCAATGCGTGCGCCCCTTTCCAATGTAACTCTGCCTTGACCCACTTGATTGCTGTCTAAACAGTCAGCACAAGAAGTGAACATAAATTAATTAAAAAAATGTTGTCATTGATAGTACTCTACACTTCAGTACTCAAATGGTTCATATAACAGACAGGTACTCTCATACTGTCTGCAATTACAAAGTCAGAAAAATTATATTCACGTACTAACAGCGGAAGGGCTGCTTTGTGCTGTCAATTGCGGTTATTAATTTTTCTTCGCTGTGTAACTAGCGCTCCATTATTTGCTTGCCTATTCGGAATACAAACGAATTGTTTGTTCCTCGTCATGCTGTTCTGCTGGGTTCATTAGTATCTCCTTAGCGAGACGGTATTGCGAAGGAAGGGACGACCTGCCTTAAACAAAATTTCCCTCATGCTCAACGAAATAACCTACAATTGCGGTATGTTACTGGTGTATTATTCAGCGCATTGCCGACGCTGTTTCTCGAATTAGCTGTATAATGTTTCTTGAAGATGCGAAATGTCGAGATTTTGCCTGATAAAACTTATATTTGGAGTGAACCCTGGGAAGACTTTGTGATGGAGGACTTTGAACCCGCACGCGGAATTCAAGTATATTCTCTAAGTCTATTATTCTACATGATAGATACATATTTTCTGCCAACATAGAATATGGTGGTAATGTTAAATACTACACTGTATACTGTTTCGTAGTAAGACAGGTCAATAGTACTATCTTCTGCATGTCATACTGTAGATAGTTGAAATCGTTTCTACGAAACATTTTAAATTATTAAATAATGTTTTAGATCATACATGATGTGTGCAATTACTAAATGTAAAAGGATT